GATTAAAAAAAAAAAAATCAAGCCTAGACAAACCCTTTTGAATTTTATTTTAATTCTTAAGCTAAGATCTCTTTTACTTTTCCAGCCAACACTACAGTGAAAGAAACTGTAAATTCCAGAGAGGAAGTTAATTTGACAAACAGACTAACATCTATTAAACCAAGAATTACACCCATGGTATTATTCAGGGAGCTTCGATCCCAAATAACAAGTAAATATATCTATTCAACTACTTCTAAGACATGTAAAACATATTTCTTGTGTATTTGGGGAGTAATTGAAGAACTGAAGGCAAATGTGCACTGTCTTGAAATCAGTGGAAAAATTCTGATGGATTTCAACAAGGATTTCTCATCTCTATCATATTTCACATCATCCAGACAACTAGTAAAAAAAATGCAATGGTTGTTTTGACAGAGTTGCTCAGTAAAGAGATAGGAAAATTAAGAAAAAACAGCACAGAAAAAGACATTTCAGATTTCAAGTATAGTACACTATTCTAAAGGCTTCGTAGACCAAAGGAATCCCTTACTGTTCAAGGGCCAGTGACTCAGGTTTAAGCCTGATATGAATTAAGGTAAGGTGCTTAACTAAAACTTGTATAGTCTGCTGTCAAATCTTGTGAAAGTTTTTCATGTTTACACCTTCAGTTTTAAGTGCCAGAACTGCAAAGGTATGCTGCTAACTAAAACACTGACATAAACTGGCTAGACTTGCTTTCCCAAAAGTCAGATGGTGCAGTTTGCCAGTGCTAAAATATATAAATAACAAGTAACATTTATAATAATCTTCTTCCATTTTAGATTGTCTTAACAGCATTTATGATTTGAATATGTATTTTTGGCCCAGCAATCTCCAGAAGACTGACATTCAAGAAGCAAACAAAAGATTCAGATATATGTATATGCTATATATACACACATATGTAAACATACACATAGGTATATATAAACCAAAACATGGCTCTCTGAGTTTTGTCTTTGGGTTTTTGTTTTCACAAAGAAATGCTACAGCATTGCTGCCTCTTTGTCCCTACATAATTCATTACCACACAATAATGAAGTATTAAAGAATCCCGACACTTAAAATAGAACAGATTATGCAAAGAAGAACAAAAATGGTGGAAACAGTAACATAAAAAAAGGATGAAGTGTGCACAAAGCATGCCATACATTTCAAGTAGAAAAGTACATAAAATCAGAGTTGAGTAGTGGTTAAGAGTTCATGTTTTCAAATGTGAGACGTATGGATTTCAACATGAGCTAGCACTGATTCCAGCCCGCACTGCTCCAACACAAACAGTGCACATTTAAGTCAGATGGCTCCTGCTCAGCAAGCACTGTCACCTGGATCACATACTTTCTTATATTTAAATGCCTTTTTTTTCCTCTTTTAACAATGATACAAAACAAAACTTGGAAAAGAAATAACTCTGCCTTTAATCCACTTTCCTGTGGTTTTCCCTCCAAACCTCTCTGAAAAGGCACATCAGTTTTGCTCTAATATGCCAGCATGAAGGAATTAAATAAGGCTGTGGTTTCAAGTTTTTGGGTTTTCTTATCTGACTGCTTTGTCACACTCCTAGCTGCAACATTATCCAAAACATTTTTGATTTTAATGTATAGAAATATTACTGTCTCTGAACAGAATTAATACCTCCAAATATTAACATAAGAACAATATGTATTATTTTGCCATGGAAAGACCATCATACACATTTAAGAGCAGCTATTGGCAAGAAATCACATAAGTTGCATAACAAACTTTGCTACAATATTTGACAACTGGCACTTTTTCCTCACTGGAAATTTAATTTCCTACTTTTAAAGTCTACAGAAATCTCCACAGAAGTTGTGTACATTAAGAGCATTTAAAACCTTTCTTTACTCTCATCTTATTGCTATAAACACACAGTGGGAAGCAAAAGCCAGCAAGCTTTACTTAAAACTCCTCAAAAATGGTAGAGGGAAAAGCAGAAAAAACTTCTCACACAACATAATTTAGAAAAAAACCAAAACAAAATCCACACCAACAACAACCCCAAGCTTACCAACCAAAAACTCACCAGAAAACAAAACCTTACCTTTGTATCGATTATATAATTGTTCTAATTTCTTCTTGTCTACTGAATTTTTCATGGATTCTTTGCAGTACAAGTCTGGATTCTGGAAGTAGTTGTCTGTTGCCACTTCTAGTTTCCATTCATTCTGTGTTAAGCAGTATATAGCAGTCCTTTCACCAGCCTGGGTAAATGCCATAAACTGGCGGACCTTGTCCTTCTGGGACGATTTAAGTTTGTGCTTTGGGATGCAAAAGAAGCAGGAAAGCCAATGAAGCTAATCCAGAAGTTTGTTTCAGCATTCTACTACTAATGCCTATCTTTTAAAGGTTTTAGTTTTCTTGTTGATGACAACTTTCACTTCAGAATTACAGGAAGACAAAGCCTTGTTCTTCTGCAGTTAAATAGACAGCATTTTCTTCTGAAAATTGAAATGACAGCATCTATATATACATTTTTAGCAGCACATATTCTGTCAGTAACAAACTTGTATTTCTGCTTTATTGCTCACATATGCTGACGTTTTTTCTGTTCTGTAACAGCAGTAAACACAAGTTTCGTCATATTACAATATGGTTATCTTCTGAAAGATATGTCTAGTGGTTATAAAAAAGAGAAATTAAAAGGGTGCAACTTACAGATTCTCAAATTCTGTATAAGTCCATACATGGAGAAAAAATACCCAAGAGTTTTCCTAATATTTTCTTAGCCACAATTAACAATGCAAAGTTTAATCAGTCATCAGCTGAAAAAGGCAGAAGCATTTGTCATATAATTATGTTTTAAAACACTGCCAACAGAAGACATAAGGCAAAAATAAAATAGATGAAGAGGACATAGTGGAGACTGCTGAATGTTACAATGGAACTATAAGATCGCTGTAAATGTGATCTAAAACTTTAATTAAACTTTGACAAATATGTTTATACTACTAACACACTAAACAACAAAAAAGTTGCAGTGGTCTACAGTAATTAATATGATGTTTCTCTCAATTAAAACAACCACACGGAAACAATATCCCTAAACTTCTGGAACACCCAAGAAGTAGGAATGGGCATTTTACAGGGAGAAAATTCGCTGGTAACATATTTCAACATTATTCTTTACATAAAGTTGGAAGCAGAAGGAGATAGCTTAAGTCGAGCTCTGTTTTTTACTATATTCTGTACTTTCCAATTTTGTTAAACCTTACTTAACACATGTTCTGGGCCAACAGTTAAGCTGAGAAATTGGTATAAATTCCCCACTACAGCTTAAATCGTCAGGTATAATGGAAAATTAATGTGTCTCTTAAAAGAGAACTGAATTCTGATCCAGTGAGGAGTAAACATGAGACCATCTTTCAGATTACTTTTTATCTCTCATACCCATATGGATGTCTTGGCTATAGATGGTCCTGAGACAAGAAACATATCATGTAAACAAGATAAGGACTTGGTTTTCCTACAGGATTTTTCAATCTAATATAAGAAGAAACATGCCGGGTTTCTTTTTACACAAGAAATGTGTACAGTGGAAGGAAAAAAAGTGCAAAATACAACTACTATATACTTTGGTAAGTAAATAAATAATAATCCTTTGGCTGCAAGCTCCAGCCTGACTCCAAATTTTCATGAAGGTCCAGATAAGGGAGTCTCTGCACCTAGATCTTCCTCAGTTACATAAACTTCTTGTGGGCAACAAACTTAGCAATAATCACTTCAAAACAGAGGGCTCTGCCAACAACGCCAAAGCAAACCCCACGTCCTCTTTCAAGCCTAGTTAACGCCAGGCATTTACGGATATTTTCTAGCGAAACGAAACACTGAATTATTTGAAGCGATAAGAAACACACAGGGCTCTCCAGCCCACCACCGTGCCACGTAGCACGGCTCCTGCCGCTCGGCCGGTGCCCTGCGGCGGGAGCGGCACCGCGCACCCTCCCGGCCCGGGGCCCTGGAGCTCCTGTCCCCAGCACGACCCCGCGCTGATGGCACCGAACAAGGATGCGCACCTCGCATCCAGGCACAGCTCAGCCACGTTTCTGGAGCCCTCTCCCAGCGCTAATGTACCGCACACCCCGGGGAAGCGCTGAAGCTGCTGCAGCAGCACCAGGAGAGCCCTTCCTTCCCAAAACAGCCCCGGCCGACCCCGCCACCCCAACCCGGCAAGGGAATTTGTACCGCACCTTTCCCACCGCCTCCGGCTGCACCTGCCGCGTCCCGCGGCGGGGAAGGGGCCGGTGGGAGCGAGGGACTCGCAGCTCCGGTGACCTGCCCCGCCAGCCCCAATCCCAAAAAAGGGAAAGGTACGCGCTGCGCCGGCTGCCGGCGCTCGAAATACCCGCGGCGGGGCCCGGCCCCCTCCCTTCCCCCGCCGCCCCCGGTGACCTTCCCCGCTCCCGGCCCGGCGGAGGAGGCGGCGGGAGAGCGACTCCGCACGGGGGGTGCGCGTCCCCGTGTCGCTCGTCCCCCGCGCCTCGCGCCTCCCCGGGCAGGGCAACGGGACTCGGCGCTGCGGAAGGTGCGGGGGCGCTCGGCTCGCCAGCCCGGGGGGTGCCTGGGGCTTGTTCGAAGCTCCCCCTCCACGGTTTCGCCGCCTCCCCTCCCCCCCGGGCTCGCACAACCTACCATTTTATCACCGGCGCTCCCACCAACTTCACCGCCCGGCGCCGCCTCCCGCGCAGGCGCGCACCGGCCCGCCCGCGCCGCCTCCCGCCGGGGAGCGCTCGGGGCACGGGCCGCAGAGGCGGAGCGCGGGGTCGCGGTGCGCAGCCCGCAGCGCTGCCGGGGGGAGCAGCGGCGGCGGCGGCGGGGCAGCTGGGGCAGCTGCGGGGCCGCGGCTCCGACTACAACTCCCGGCGTGCGGCGAGAAGCCGCGGTGACGTTTCCCGCCGCGAGGCGGCGCTCGGAGCGCGGGTCCCGCCCAGCTGCGCTCCCAAGGCGCCGCCCCGGCGCTCGAGCACCGGCGCGGGGCGAGGGGCGGCCGCAAGGACGGGGCTCCTCGGTGCCCTCCGCCAGCGGCCGCCGCCCACTAACACCCCTGCTCGCCGCCCTGCGATCCCGCCCCGCCGCTGCCGGCCTTCCTCCGTCCCTCAGGTGAGCGTCGCTGCCGATGCGCCGGGCGGGGCGGCCGCCTCTTGTCCCTCCGCCGCCATGAGGGAGAGGCAGCCGGGCCGGTCGCCCCCGCCCTCCGCTTACCTCCTTCTGTTCTCCCCTCGTGCCCCGCCGTCCGCCCGGCCTGCCGCAGGGAGCGGCGCCGGGAGCTGGCGCCGCGCTCAGGTGCGAGCACGGCGGGGCGGAGGTGCCGGGCGGACACGGCCCCCCTGGCCTGCGGCTCCCGGGGAGGAGCTGCCATGGGAAAGGGGCGAGTGGAGGCGAGCCCACAGACGTGGAAGGACCCGCAAGAGGGGTCTGGAGGCGGGGTCGGGTATTATCAGCTTGGTGGAATCTGGTGCTGCAGTGTCGTGTTCAGGAAGGAAAAAGGGGGATGATGAGCTGCAATCCAGCAGGAAGCAAACGCTGTTTAAATAAGGACTCTCCCTCCGATTTGATACTTACTGGTGGTGAATGGAGAGGAGTGTTAGGTTTTTTGCCTTGGTTTGTGGTTTTTGGGGTTTTTTTTGTGCTCAGCATCACATAATTTATTTTTATATGTGAGATCTTTATTCCCTTACGAGCTTTTGAGCACTGCCCCAGGTGTCGCTCCTCTAAACAGTTTTTGCTAGCCAAGTAAAAAGCACAGAAACAAAACTGTCCCCATGTGTGAGCCACAGTGCTAAGTTTGTACAGTGCAACAGGGAGTGAACTTTGCTGGTGTAAATCTCTGCTCAAAATTTAGTTATGTGGTTTGATGTACCACGTAAGTCATGTAGTGCAGTCTTTTACTCACCTTGGATGTACACTGGGTGTTTTATTCTCCCTCTTTCTTTACTTGCCTTGGATATACACTGGGTGTTTTATTCTCCCTCTTTCTTGCAGAAATAGGTTGTAATATATATTTAACAAAATCTCTGCCAAGCTTACTAAACAGGAGGAGCATTAGTTTGTATATATGAAGAAATATTTCCTTAAATTTCACTCTAGAACTTTGCTAGTAGGTGAGGATTGTTATTTTCCTGATTCCTTAAAAGTAGTAAGCCCCACAGCTTTATCAAAGTTCTGAAATATTTGTACTTTATTATTTTATTGACATTATACTGATGTGATATGATTTTGCTACTTGATTACGCTTTCAGTTCTTAATTTTAAATGTTTTAGCTCTTTGTGTTATTAAACCCTAAGCCCACAGTCAACTAACAGTAACTAAATACTTTGCCTCGCATTTCATGCATTGAAAAAAGAAATAAACCAACTCACAGACAGATTTTCTCATTTCTCTCTGAAACAGAGATGGGAGGGTGTTTAGAAAATGAAGGTAGAGCATGACTATGCTTGCCATCTTCCCTTCCCATGGAATCCCAGGATGGCCTGAGTTGGAAGGGACCATAAAGACCAATGGCTCCAACCCCTCTGCCATGGGCAGGGACATCTTCTACTAGATTGGGCTGCTCAGAGCTCATTCCATGTATTGATGATGGCTGGCTTGGATATCTGGGACTGTGACTGCTACTGCCTTGTAGGAAAACAAGGTTCTCTCTTAGGCAGACTGCTTCCAGATGACTGTGTCCATGTATTGGTTCCTGATTAAGGCTGCTGGCCCAATGATCAAGACTAACTAAATTTTTAGGGAAATACCTGCTGTATTGATGATCTGTTAACGTGTTGTGTGTGATGTGAATTTTTAGAATGCCAAATAGAAAATTTTATGTATTATGTGTAACTTTGTGGTGTGAGGGATTTTTTGAGGATCTTTATGTTTGTTTGGATTTTTTAAAAGAAAATATAGCTGTTGTTTTGTGCAATAATGTCAGTAGTTCCTTATAGGTTCTGAGGGAAGGAAATTAATTTTTAAATTCCATCCTGCTTGGTGTTAAAATTAAATACAGGAGTTTAATTACAGATTTTCAGGTAGTTGCTGGGAAATGAACGTATGAATGAATTGATTTAGGTTTTTTTGTAATTTACTTTAAAATCTTGAAGGTCCCTAATAGGTTTAGAAGTAAAGTACCTCAGGGCTCCACAGCTTTTCAGGTGAAGAATGTCTTTGATCCAAACTAGTAGCACTCAGAAGTCCAGGAAGTTTTGCTGTTGTTTCTTCCACAATTATGATTTATAATGTAATCTGATTCAATTAGGTGTTTTTATTTTTATGTTTTGTTAAATGTGTGTAGTTGAATTTGTTAATGCTTCTGAGACTTTATAAATAACAAATTATTATGATGCAATGTTTTAGGATAGGTTTTAGGAGAGACAGGAGATTTACTGACAGCTAAGAATAGTGAGTTCTAGTGCTGGGTTGAAATGCAGGCTATGACATCATGGTCTGATATTTTTAAAGGCTTTTCTTTCCTGTAAGAAGTGCAGATGAGTACCATGTGAAGTGACTAAGCTTTCCAGTCACTGCTTATAAAACAAGATGTTATCTAGGAAATAGTCAAGGGGAAAACAAAAATCTGTCAGTAACCTTGGACTATTTCTTGGTTTTCATAAACGTTGAGTGAAGAGGACTATATGTGTTCTGTTAAAGCTTGTGGTGCAGGAGGCAGTCTTGGATTTATTTCCTACATTTGTTTGATCTAATGGCCCGGCATTACTATGTTTGATAACCGATGGGTACTATCTTGCAGCCTGCTGTGCATGCTGGAGATGCAGAAATCATGTAGCAGAAAGCTTTGAGCAGCTGTGGATTATCAGTTTCTCCCAAGAGGAATATCAAGTGAAGGATGAAGGCGACGGGATTTATTTCCCTGTGGACGTTGGTTTCGCTGCCTTGTGGCCCGTTAGCAAACCCCGCGGAACGTGAAGATGTAGTGAAGCATACCATAAAGCTGCACCGTGGGAAAGGAGCTGTTATCACTCAGAGGAAGCAGTGGGTGTTGGAGAGCTGCAGAAAACTGTCTGGTCTTCTTCGCCAAAAGAACGTTGTTCTCAACAAACTAAAAAATGCCATAAGAGCAGTTGAGAAGGATGCAGGACTGTCTGATGAAGAGAAACTTTTTCAGGTGCACACCTTTGAAATTTTCCAAAAGGAGCTGAATGAAAGTGAAAACTCAGTATTTCAGGCAATCCATGGCCTCCAGAGAGCTCTACAGGGTGACTACAAAGATGTTGTAAATATGAAAGAAAGCAGTAGACAGAGACTGGAGGCCTTGAGAGAAGCTGCAATTAAGGTTGGTTTCCTCATGTTTGTTACTAGATTATTCGTATTCTACTTGTGATTTTAACTTTATTGTGGCACAGTTTCAGTCTGTTTTAATAAAGAAGGGTATCTACATAAAACTCGCAATGTTTACTATTGAATGAAGTATTTGTTTTCATTAGTAAATTTACAAGTAATTCTGGTGTGGCGCATAAAACTTATTAGCAGTCAATAGCTCTTTTCTCAAAGCTAAGCATAATCATAATACCTATGGCAAATATAATGTTAAAGGGAGAGGAATAGGAAGAGTGAATCAGTGCACATAGCACAGTTGCACTAGACAAGCCAGTGGCATGAGCTGAGTGGAAATAATGCCATCAAATGGTGAAATACTAAGGGTTTTTTCCACTTTAAATGAGAATTGCTCAATCAAATTCTGTTAAAACAGAATTACTTGCTGCCTTTCATTTCCATGGGTAAAATGGGCATGCAAAACAGTAGGTGACTAGCTTTTTAAAACTCAGTATTGCACCTCCAGCCTAAGAAATGCAGGTTTGAAATGCAGTGCTTCCAATAAAGAGTCAGCTGAAATAACTTTGCCAAGAAAAAACACAGATGAGTAACAGTTGAACACAGATACTTCATGGAAAGTTTGAGTTCCCGTGTCCCATTAGGTTGAGCACAATCTGCCACTGTCTTCTGGACTTGGTAGTGCTCAGACTGTGTACTGAGTCTCCAAGAGAGATAAAATGCAATTTAATGTATTTGGTATTTAAATTGCTCTTTTCCTTTCTCTAGTCCTCAACCACTGGAGGAATCTATTCAGAATTTTCTTTGTTTTCTGTCTTCTAAAAGAAGAGGTTGCCCTTGCACAAGGGAGCAAGAGAGGGAATAAAAATGTAATTGGCATTTAGCATTTGAGTTGTGAGAGTCTCTGAAGAGCATTTGTGCTAAGAAATGTGCAGACCTTGGCAGGTGAAGTTGGAAAGAAATTATGTGCAGTAAAGGTGTCCAGTGAATAGTGCCAAGATAGGCTGGAAGTAGAAATTAGGATGTAAACTTGGCAGACTGGAGTGATTCTGTGCAGTGGAATTGAAGACTGAATTACAACAAATTTGAATAGGGAATAATTTGGGTCTAGGTGTATTCCAATGAACTGCTTTGTATGACTTGTATAGTGATACTTTATGGTAGTGGCAGCCTCTTCTGCACAGAAATGTCATAGAAATTGTCATGAGCTTCACTTGGTTTTCCACCATTTTTCTTTCTCAGAGCTTGCAAAATAGCAGCAGCGAGGCATTCCAGAACCTTCTTTCCCATTTACCTAATTCTTGGTAATGTTGCAGTAAAATAATGAAGTAATTTATCCTTGAACTTGAGAATGGTGCTTCTTCTAGAAGGAGGCCTTTGTGTACAATTATGTGTTTTAGAGGTGTGTCCTGTCAAAAGTTTACTTTTGCTGAAGTGAATTGTGCAGGCTTTTTTTGTATTTTCAAAATATTTACTTGAGTGAGCAATCTTTTGCACCTTCCTTCTTATGCCATGCATGTGGTTATTTAAACAGAGTATTTGTGGTCCTAACCTTATAATTGTTGTATAAAGGGAAGCAAAGATATGGAAAAATGCATGCCAAAAAGATGACAATTGCATGGGATACATTTGTTTTGGACTTGTTCTTAGTTCATAAGACACACGTTAGGTCAACTTTGTCCCAGTTTCATTTTACTGTAACAATTATTTTGTTGGTATACTCTTAGAGCATCTATTTTTTAAACAGTGAGTGAATGGAAAATACAAGTATCTGTAGGGGGTGCTGGAATCTTCCCTTTATTTTATTTCTGTTGAGTAGAAATGCTTGGAAGTCATTAGTGCTGGGATATGTATGTATGTCTGATGCATTTCTTGCTGGTTCTGCTGCTGTGAAAAGATATCATGGGATCATTCACAGTATATGGCAGGGGGAAGTAAGGAAGAAGCATGAAGAGGATTTCTGCCTTCTTTTGCTCCAGGATCCTGTTTGGAAGTTCAGGAAAAAGTAACAAAATCTTACTTTTTAATTAGCTTCTAATTTCTTGGATGCCTTCTAATCAGACATGGGTGGAAAAAAATTACTTGCAAGTATGGCAAAGATGCAACCTCTTCTGCATGTGCTTTTGTCTCTGAATACATACTAGAGTGCAACAGCAACTGCATTCTGAGTCAGCATTGCCCCAAAGTCTTAATTTTCATTTTGCTCCTGTGTTTTCAGGTGTTCCTATTAAGTACACAACGCTTATCTGTATTACTTTGCTTAAGAGGTTGCTTGTTATCCTCATGATCAAGTGTCTCCAATCCCAGCCTGAGCTGCAGAACAGTGTTTGTACTGTGATGCACTTCTGCTTAGCATGTAGCAGGTTGTTTGAATTAACTCATGCTTTTTATGGACACCGTTGCCTGTGGTTGTCCCAGTCTACTGCTATCACATTTGTTTCTTGGTGGAAACAGATGCCACTTTAATAGACTACAAAAACCTTAATCTTCATTAATTGAAGGAACTTGAAGCTACTTCAACTCTTATTTTTTCAAAGCTTTTCTACCTTGCTATCTTGGGAAACTTCTTTTAAATCAGAGATTGTTTTTTATGTAGTTTGCCTATAGCTCTGTTCAGCCTGTTTGTCTTGGCCAATGGAAAGGACTGGGATGGGCTCCTTGCACCCAAAACCTCTTCTATTTTTGAGGGGAAAGAATCTTACCATTATCAATTTCACTTTGTTCTAAGTTGTTGCTGAATTAGCAGAGAATCTGCAGCTCGTATGGGGGCTGTTTCTTACATCTTTTGAGCTAAGTCTGCTAGCAGAGAGCAATGGATAGGAAATGTTTTTCCTTGAGGCTGTATGAGAATGACTGTCTCTCCTACTTATGTGTTGCATAAGAACTAATTGTTGACATTGGGCCAAACACATTAATAGTTACATTCTTCCCAGCTCCAGTTATTTTGGGCTCTGGGTAACTTTCACCATGAGGATGTAACTATGATAGTTCTGAACACCAGCAGACACCAGTACTGTGGTTTCCTCACAGTCAGAGGCATTCATCCGACTGTCAGGATTTAAAAAGGGTTCAGCTGCAGTTACTGGTTGTACTGAACGTATTCTTCTCTTGGCATCAAGGATTTGACTGAATTACGCGCACGTTCTTGCGGGTTCCAAGGGGAAAAATGTTCATCTGCAAATGTGTGGAGGAGGAGACACTACAGTTATTTAAGCATAGGTGTTTAGGACCATATAATAAGCTCAGGTTATTGAAGGTATCTATGGAGGGTAGGCAGATAAAATACACAACCTATGGGAGATCTGTGTTCTCTGATTTCTAACTGGGCGTGGCAGGGGCAGGGCATCTGCAGACAGCAACTTGTGTTTTCTGGGAGTTGAGTCAGACCTATAGATTGCTTGCGTTATTTTGCCTGTTTTCTTTTTTTTCTTTTTAACAATGTTGGCTCTTTAAAAGAGCAGAAGGGTCTCTCTCATTCAGGTATTCTCAGCATCCTGAATCTAACTGGAAGGAGGGAGTGCTGCCCTTGTGTGTGTTTCCTTATAGCTGTTCTTTCAACAATCTTTAAAAGAATAGAGTAAAGGAAAGAATATTTTTTCCCCAAAACCCTGAAGTTGTTCTCTGTCAATACACAGTATTCTGTTTGGTTACTGTCATGGTAACTATGTAAAAGGTGTTAGCCCCAGTTGTTAGTAAATTAAGCTTTTTAGTTCTCTTTTTGAACCTGAAACATCATAACTTTATCACGGAAATTACTGAAATATTTTCCCACCATATCAAACCATATTGGCATATTTTCTCTTTTTACTTCAGAAACCTAGTAATTTGAGAAGTTGTCAGTGCAAGTTGATAAGGGGCCCAAACTAAAATAGGGGGAAAAGTCACATTTTTAAATTCTGATAGGAAAAGTGCTTTTTGGGAAACATGAACAGGAAGCTTGGCTAGAGTGATTGGCTGCTCGTCTCTACCACAGCTCTTTTTTTCTTCCTGTTTCCACAGTTACTGTAATTTTTGAAAACCATAAACAGACCTCTTTCTGTGTTTATAAAAGGGCTTATAAAATTAAGATTCATTGTGCTTTACATCTAATTTGTTTGTTTGTTGTAGATAGTATGGCTGTGCTTTCAAGGTATTTTGCTTCCCTTCAAAAGCACAAAGTTCTAAACTTTATTTGGCTCTGAAATGTTTCCTAGAGTTTCTCAAAGTTAATCCTTTCTTGTATTTTCTGGATCATAACCTTGGGGCAGGTCTGCTGTTTAATGTAATAGAAAAGGCTGTTGGTGGATATTTTGTCTGGTTGTTTTGTTTTCTTGCCCACTTACCCAATGAAAATTGGCACAAGAAAAAGCAATCTCTAAATATCTTCATGATGTCTATATTGCTTTTGCAATTCCGCTGATAAAATGTTTTGTGTCAAAAGAAGCACACATTTATGTCAAATGTTTTTTCTGCTCAAAGGCCTGCCAACACTTTTTCTGTGTGTTGTAAAATTCAACAGGAAGAAATGGAATATGTTGAACTCTTAGCAGCAGAGAAACACCAGGTTGAAGCCCTTAAGAACATGCAGCACCAAAACAAAAGCCTGTCGATGCTTGATGAAATTCTGGAAGATGTCAGGAAGGCAGCTGATAGATTGGAAGAGGAAATAGAAGAGCATGCCTTTGATGACAACAAATCTGTAAGTGATGCTTTAGACTCAGTCATTTCATTGGAGTACATTTATTTATAGTTGATGTTTGCCCTGTGTGTATGTCTTGAGTTATATAGTTGTTAGGATTTTAGTGATTGCTGAAGAGTGAGCAAACAGGAGTAACTGCTCCTTTTTGCTAGTGATTTCTGTGGCTTTGATTTGAAAGTGCTCCCTGCAGCTGCCACTTTGACATGCCCAAGTGTAGTACATGTGAGTGATACAGCCCGTGATAGACGGCATCTCTGTGGTGGTGGGGACTGTGATGGTTGGACTTGGCAGGATATGGAGTTACCGTGTTCAGCATTGTCTCCACGTTTTAATTTTCTTGAGAAAGTTACGGGAGAGCAAGAATCCTTGCAGCTGGTTTTCACAGTCTGGGAAAAGATGTATTTTTCAAAGGAAAGACCTGATATGTGTTTGTGATGTTACTTTCTTCCACGTCTGACTTCCTCTGTGTTTTGTACCTTGGCCTGCCTGCACTGATCCTTGTTTTATGTTCCATGATGGGACAGTGTAACTATGATATTTTATGAAAAATCCTTTGCTAGGATTTTTCTCCTGAGTAGCTGAGGAGCCTCAGGAAAGAAAAGTAAACAATAACTATCTGCTGTTGTGGAATGCAACAGGTGCACCTGTGATTGGTGCAGGTTGGTTGTTTCTAATTAATGGCCAATCAGTCAGCTGGCTCGGACTCTCGGAGAGTCAGGAGTCTTTGTTATTCGTTTTATTCTTGTTCTTTCTAGCCTTCTGATGAATCTTTTTTCTTTATTCTTTTTAATGTATGGTTTTAATGTATTATTTTAATATAATATATATCATAATATAATAAACCAACCTTCTGAAACATGGAGTCAGGATTCACATCTCTTCACTTGTCCCAGTCTCCTCACACAAAACATCGACCACAGGACAGTATCCTTCAGATAAGGCTATACATCTCTAGAGCCAGGAATACGTCAGTTTATTCTAGTGTCCCATTTTTCCATCCTCAGAAAGACTCCCTAAATTGGCTCTGTTTGCATAAACACGGGTTTATTTGGCTTCTGCTCTTGGGAGGTTTTTATTGATTTCCAGGTTGACTCCCTTCTCTGCCGCAGAGAGCCAAGCCGTGTGTGGTTTTGTTTGTCTTTTTTGTAGTTGAGCTCAAACCGAGAGAGAGTGGAAGCAGCTTTTTTATTTGGCGTGCAGCAGACGCGAGCGGTCGTGCCCGTGGGAGCCGGGCGGCGGGAGCGCCCTCTCCTGTCCCGCCGGGGTAGAGCGGCCCCGCCGCAGCCCGAGCGGGCGCTCGCCTGCGGCTCCTGGAACCCGCGGGGCGCCAGCGCCGCCTTCTTCTGCTCTTCTTCCCTTCCTCCCTGCTCTTCTGCTTGTGGCTCCGTCCCTGAAAGGAATCATGAAGTGCAGCTTTGAGAGCTATGTGCTTCTCCATCATTGCAAGGAACATTTTTTTTTAAACTAAAACATTTAGTTTAGAGTAGAGAAGCGTTAATACAGTAATCAATATTCTGATAAAGACACCAGCTTCTGTTAAAATATAGCCAAATAGTGAAGTGTAGCAGGTAAAAAAAAATCTGCACTACAACCTTTGTTCAAGAATTGCTGTTCTGAGAAATAAAATCCTGAAAATAACAAGGTAGAAACAGTTCTTATAATAGGTCCTTCAAATGTACAGGATAGTGACCTTTTCTTAACTTGGAATGCAGTCTTTAGTTCAGACTTTTGTGAACTGAGTATCACTTTGTAATCTCCGATTGGTTTTGTTGAAGGTAAGAAAATGTTACTTTTAAAGGCATCAAGTTTTGATAAAGAGATTGAAAGATTTTTAGAGAAGAAAGCTGCAGTATTTTTAATTGGTGTCAACAAGTTCTGTGGATACTTCAAGCACAGCTAATAGTCCTTCTGTTATTATGATATGCTTAATTGACTCCCTTTTTTTTTTTTTGTTTCCTTGATTTTTTGTTTTCTTTTTTTAAAAAGGTAAGAGGTGTAAACTTTGAAGCTGTTTTAAGGGTGGAAGAAGATGAAGCCAGCTCCAAAACAAATGCTTCAAAAAGAGAAGTAGAAGATGACTTAGGACTTAGTATGCTTATTGATTCTCAGAACAATCAGTATATCCTTACTAAACCCAGAGACTCAACCATTCCTCGTGCAGATCATCATTTCATAAAGGTAATAATTTTAGAGACATTCTTGTCATTCGCTTCTGGATTTATTCCCACAAGTTTGCATGTCAGTACTACTTGGTTGGAGTGAGTATAGTTTCAGCATTTGTCTGCCTGAAGTTATCCCAGCATTCATGACTCCTCCGTCTATGGTGATTCAGCCATGTCTTCCCTGCTCTTAGGTCTGTCTTGTGAAGACTGAGCATGATGCCACTCTGTGTTTTTATTTGGCCTCTCTTGTTGCACCTTTGAGGCACTGTCCCCTCTCTCAGACTACAAAGTGTTAAAGCTACTGCTGTGCTTAATAAGCCACTGACAACACTCATGTTGTCAGAAGAGAGAATTTATCTGGTTGTGCCTTGTGATGAAAAAAGGGATCCTGAAAAATACATAGACATGGTAGAGTTTGGATTGTTTTTGTGCTTTAAATAGAGTAACTGGATTGGCATTTTTGTTTTAATTGTAAAACCCAAAACAGTTCTGTTTTACCATCTTGTTTAATGCAAGGTATCATTCCACCCATGAAATTGCCTACTTTCTATAATATATTTTAAATATTTGTATATTGTTTTTAAGTCCCACAGTTACTTAAGGTCAGTGCCTCATCTGCTTCATCTGAAAAACTGCTGTGCTTACACCTGCAACAGCATTGAGGTTGATTTACAGAAGTTTTGTTTTCGTTTCATGTGAAGTAGTCTACATTTAATTTTACAGTGCTATTTATCTTTTGAAAGTTAATAGTCTTCAATTTTATCCCAAATTTGTGTCCTTTATATTAATGCCTTTGTAAATCTTATGTATTTAGGATATTGTAACAATAGGAATGTTGTCTTTGCCGTGTGGCTGGCTGTGCACAACAATAGGATTGCCAACCATGTTTGGATATATCATCTGTGGAGTACTCTTAGGACCCTCAGGACTAAATAGTATTAAGGTAAGCGTGCAAGTTAGTTCTTGACTGATTTAATTCATTGAACTCTTTAAAAGTAGCTTTAAAAGGATATGGTCAGCCTCAAATGTATTTAAAAAAAAAGATATCCCCAAACCTGAAGCTTTTCAAGAGGAGAGCTTCAAATTTTATGTTTTTGAGTAATTTTGTTTTCAATCTGTTTTTCTCCTATAAAATTATGACAATTGTTGAAAGTGAAATTGAAGGTTGTGTGTTGTGGAATTTTTATGTCAGGTTTTTTTTTTTTTTTTTTCTTATTTTAATCATAAAACACCACAATTGGGAGCCAAATTATTTAAATTACATGAAATATACAGAAACTTGCAAAAAGTTTCAGTGTTGACAGTGGAGGAAGCATTTAAAACAAATAGTTCCCCAAGGAACATAGCTTGGCTTTCTACAGAGTTATTTTGCACCTCTGTAGTGCTTTCATCCACCCTGGTCCCCCTATTCCTTTCCCAGTACTCTGCCCACATTCCTGAGGTCTTTTGAACCTTTTTAGCTCCATCACGTGTACCCTGATTAGTGGCTCCTGAGAAACCGTGAGCTGTGGTTGGCTGGACATGTTTTGATGAAGTGCTCTGGTGTGCATGAACAGATTGTTTAGCCAGCAGGCGAAACAGAACACATGCTAGGGCTGCACACTAATGTCTGCTTAAGTTGCGTGTGTCTGTTACACTGATATCCATGAAACCTCGTGGAACTTACTGTCTTTGCAACATCTGCTCCTCCATGGGCTTCCGTTGAAAATGATTGTTGAGCTCAGAAGCAGGGATTAGTAGAAATTGTAGGATGTTGTTGATCTTGTATTGGAAGAGATTAAATAATCTCAACCTCTGTCTTGTAAGACAGAGGTTGAGATGTTTCTAGACATTCTCAATGTAATTTCTGCATTGAGAGTGTCTGGAAAGTTTGATCACTTAAGATTGAGAAACAAGATTGTAAGCTTGGCATGAGAAAGGGAACCATCAACAAATTTTCAGGACTCTTACATTGAAGATGATGATGTGGTCAGAACAGATATGAAAGATGTTTCTTAAGGACAGTTTAAGTGACTTGCCTTTTTGTTGTGGAGCTGTGATTAAATGTTATACATCTGGATAATACTCTTGTTGACTGGGTCTCTTCTCCATTTCCTAAAAATTTTGAATATCTGAGGAACTGAGAAGGCAAGCAGATTCTAATCTGGCAGAAAAGATGGTTTCCATCCCCACTTGTGTAAACCTTGTTTTCTTCTACTCTGGTCCATAAATACATAGAAAAGAAATACTAGAATTTTAGAATAGAATTGACTATTCCAGTCAACTGCCTGAACAATTCAGGGCTCACCAAAAGTTAAAGCATATTTAAGGGTGTTGTCCAAATGCCTTTTAAACACTGACAAGCTTGGGGCATCAATCAGCTGTTTAGGAAGCATGTTCCAGGATATCACCACCGTCTCAGAAAGAAATGCCTCCTAACGTCCAGTCTGAACCTCTCCTGGGGCAGCGTTGAACCATTTCCACTCATCCTGTCAGTGCATACCAGTGAGAAGAGCTTAGCATCTCCTTGTCCACTTCCTCTCCTCAGGAAGCTGTAGAGAATGATGAGGTTGACCCTCATCCTGCTTTTCACCAAGCTAGAGAAACCCAGAGTCCTTAGCTGTTCCTCACAGGACATTCCTTCTAGCCTTCCACCAGCTTTGTCCTCCTCTGGATGCATTCAAGGGCCTTCACATCCTCCTTCCATACTGGGGCCCAGAATTGCTCACAGTGCTCCAGGTCAGGCCTGTGAGGCCTGTGGCCACACTAACACTGAATACAGCAGGATAATTTTGAGTGACTGTGATGCTCTGTTTGATGCACCCCAGGATGAGGTTTCCCCTCTGGTGTCTCACACTGAGCCTGCTGTCCACCAGGACCCCCAGATCCCTCTCTGCAGGGCTGCTCATCAGCCACTCCTCTCCTAATCCATACTTGTGCCTGGCATTACCCCATCCCAGGGGGATCAGAATCCAGCATTTTGAATAATTTCCTCATTGATACATGTATCTATTGAACTGAGAGCCCTGAGGGTACACCAGTTGCCAGCCAGAAGTATGCCCATTTTTCTGTTGCGATGAGGAAGACCACCACTTTCCTTGCTGTTGGATCCTTCCCTCTGTAGCACAAAGGCGGTAATTGTGCTGGGCTGAGATGGATGTGTGGAGCCTGTAGGGTGGAGAACCACAGCAGCCACAGTCTAGCAGAAAGATACCAATAGACCAATAAAATAACTAGCAAGAAGTAGCATGTGGAAGCAAGCCTTGGATATTTAATAGTACATGCATAAAACATAGCCTATTTTTTTTTCAACCAGCAAGTAAGCTTACTGCTAAGGAAACTTTCCAGTCTGACCATTCTCAAGGCTCTCTGCCTTCTTCACCTTGATTATCCCAGAGGTTGGTAGTTCACTGACCCTTGTTGCAGGCTCCCACTGAGAGTTCAGTCTCCATCTCAATCTGCAGCTTGCCAGCCAAGCTACCTGGATCAGATGTGTTCCTCAACACTTACCAAGATCAATGCACGTGTGTGCATTGGGTGACCAGCACTCTCACACCAAATTACTGCCTGGTATCAGCCAGGTGATGGGAAAAATAATTGCACTCCAAAGGTGCTCTGGGAACTTCTGATGTCATATGAACAGCAAGTGAACTACCTGTGGAAATGTAATGAGAATCAATTTGTTTTGTAGTGTACTCATAATTTAGTATTATAAGTCGACTGCTGTGCACTGATTTTTTTTCTTTTTGTTTTCCTAAGTCTATTGTACAGGTGGAGACGTTAGGAGAGTTTGGTGTGTTCTTCACTCTCTTTCTAGTTGGCCTGGAATTTTCTCCTGAAAGATTAAGAAAGGTATTGTTTTATAATATCTCTGTGTTAAGGGATTTAATTGCTAATTACTGAAACTGCAGATTTCAGTTACATTTTACACTGGTGTAGCTTTGTACATTTTTGAAAAGACAAATATGACATTTGCTTCTGCACTTTGGAAAGAACAGAATGCGTTATTTATTCAGCGCCTCAAAAAAACTTACATTTACTCCCTATTTTAGTAAAACAGTTTGATTATTAGAAAAATCTCTCACAGTTTGGCAGTTCATCTCTGCTTTATTTTAACATGCAGTAATGTGCAGTTGCTGTTATAGAGTGTCAGGGATGTTTGCCATTCCTGTTATAAAAAAACCTGACAGTTCAAGTACTGTGAACTGAATTGATAATACATACTCTACTGGCTAATAAACTGATTAAGCAAGTATGTTGACATAATCTGGAATATTAAATTATGTGGCCACCAGAATTCAGCAAAAACTACAAGTTTATTTTAATCTTAATTTAAAAAGAAAAAGTTATAAATCAGCTAGAGTTTTAATTGTGGAAAATATGGCTACAAATATTTGAAGAATTGCACTGTGTGATCTGTTCCTAAACTAATGGTTGTGAGTTTATGATACAGTAAAAGCTTTACTTGAAATAGGTTACAATTTATGACCATTTAGCTTAATCTGCTGTTTCTAGTCCATCTAAAGTCCAAGATAAAAATCAGTAATTCAAGGCTTCCTAAACTGTAGTAGGTAAATTGCTTCTGCACTAGTTTGGGGCAGGTTACTGGTATTGGTACTGGTATTGGTGTATTGTATGTATTTCAACACTTACTGGACCATTTGGCCCTTAGTTTCTCCTTGAGCTTTGGGAAATTCACCTGGTTTCTGGCAGGGAGTCTTTTGGGGTACAATATTTACTCAGTGTTGTAAGCTGGGCGTTTTAGGCGATCTAGTGTGACAGCCCATTACTCTGTGCCCCAGTACCGCAGCCCCAGATCACACATCTTTAACTACTTATTTGCAATGAAAAACATTGTAACTTAGCAATGAAAAAAGTGTCATAAAAACTTGTTCTCTTCCAAAGGTATGGAAAATATCTTTGCAAGGACCCTGCTACATGACAGTTCTGATGATTGCCTTTGGTTTACTATGGGGGCACTTGCTCCAAATTAGACCAACGCAGAGTGTCTTCATTTCCACTTGTTTGTCTTTGTCAAGCACACCACTGGTGTCCAGATTTCTTGCAGGTAGTGTTCGAGGAGATAAAGAAGGTAAATATGACTTTAAATATGGACTACTGTAGTATCTAATAAAAGTTGAAAGAAGTCGACTTTGTAATACTACAAGAGAAGCTAGTTAAAAAAACAAAACAAAACCCACTCTTAAGCCTGGTTTACAAAAAATCATCCTTATTTAACACTGGCCAGTGTTGTGTGTTTTTTTGCTAGGAAGTGTACTTGATTTGTACATAGCCAGTCCTCTTTGGGCAAAGACAGTGTAGTACAACCATTGTAGTACTCTCCATTGAGAACTGACTTTACTGAGTGTCTGGAATCCTTGAACTTTTGAAGAGATTAGCCTACTGCTACCTGTCATCAGGGCAGAAAGGTTAATTAAAAAAAACTCACATCCTTCTTCAGGAAACAGAAACCAGTTCTGATGGTCTTTCATAACTAACAGCTCTTCAAATAAGGACCTTCAAGGGCCATATTTCTAGCTTCTCAAATACTTCTGAATGTTTCCTTTTGAAAGTTTTGACATCGTGCTTTCTTCCACTTAAATCTCCCTCATACAAATTGTGTTAAAGTACTACTCACCCTCTGAATATTCATTCTAATGCCAGAATTCAAGGTGTATATTTTACACATGCTAACTCGAATGTGTGTCTTCAGAATAAAGTCTGTATACTCTCAGTAGAGGAATTTCACTCAATGTGTAACTAGTGCTTAACTGCTAAGCAAAGTCTATGTTTTAATTGTGTAACAGAAATTTCATATTAATACTTTGTATTTTAATATGTCTTTATAGATACATTTTAATTTACTTACTAATGGGGGAAAAAATTCCTAAACTGCTTTGAATGACCTTCAGCCCATTACGAGCTATATTGGGCTTCCATTTGATTAAGCCTTTTCTAGATTTCTGAGCATTTGCAAGCATTCATAGTTTCTGATGGCTGTTTCCATGACCACTTTGCTGGTGTACAGGGGATATTGACTACAGCAGCGTACTGCTTGGCATGTTGGTGATGCAGGATGTGCAGCTTGGTTTATTTATAGCTGTCATGCCTACGCTTATTCAAGCAGGAGTGAGCACATATTCCAGGTAAAAAAAAAAATCATTGTATGGATCTTCCCTCTACCCCTTGCGATTAGTATGTAGATTGTTAATATGAATGTGAAAGCACTGCAGTTGATGTCAGTTCCATGGAAAATAGGTGCTCTGTTCAGTGAGATTTCCTTTACTGTTCCTACTTGTCGTGAAGTAGAAACCTGTAATAGTCATCTGAAAGTAGTTGTATGAAAATAATCTCTTTGCTATAGCTGCGTTAATCCTGTGTGGTAATTAAAATTTTGAGTGAAAAGTTTGTTACTGTAAAAAAATAAGTTAATTTCTTCACTATTCCTGCAGGGCACGTTTTTGTCAAAGACTAAGTGATAGTATTATTGTGCCTAATGGCTTACCTTGGAGATTAGTCAATGAAAATCTTTCTGAGTCAACATGGAAGTAAATTCTAGAGAGTAAAAGAGGTTTCTGGGCACTCTGCAGATTTAGTCTTAATCTTGTTTGCTAATGTATTTAAATACCTTCTTGATTTGAGCATTTATGGAATTAGGTATTTTCATTTATGGGGAACTGGTTGGGAAGTATGAGAGCACTTGAAAGAAACTTTTTGTTTGTTCTTCTCTTCCAGCATTTTCAAGGAAATTCTGAGAATACTGATACTGATTGGCCAAATTCTGTTTTCTCTGGCTGCTGTTTTTCTTCTATGTCTTGTTATAAAGACTTATCTCATAGGACCGTATTACCGCAAGTTGCACACAGAAAGCAAAGGGAATAAAGAAATCCTCATTCTGGGAATAACTGCATTCACCTTCCTTATGTTAACGGTAATCTTTTGAATTGATAAAACATTCTTATACATGTGGTAGCTTACTTCATCAGTATCACAAAAGCCATCACACTTAGTGTTATTGTATATACATGTGCCTCTGTAATTATCTGGTTTTAAATTGTTTTAAAACAACCCCCAAATGTGCAGATGATTCCTGCATTATAGCACAGATGAGTAAGAAGAGATACAATTTGAATGTGAATCAGCTGAAATTCTGCTGTTAGCTTTTAATACAGCCAGTTTAGGAATCATGATCTGAGTTTTAATTGTGAGTTACTTCATGCATTTGAAAACATTCAGGATGGGTTTTGAGATACTGATAATGACATTTGTGACATTTGCTCACAAATTTCTTCTCAATAGCAAATTCTCAACATGCTTGTTACTATAAAATATTCTTTTTGTGTGAGAGACACAGTTTGGGATGAAGTTAAGAAAGTAGAGAAATCTAAGGTTTGTAGGTTTTTATTAACCCTATTGGGTGTAGTTAATTTTCCCCTGAATTCTCCTTTTTTGTTTCTATCTCATGTTTCAGCCTTCTGAAAAACTATACTGCTGGAGAGCAGAACGTGACGGTTGCTTGATAATGTTGTGGGTTTGACACTCCATTATCCTGAATGTGCAGATTGTTACATCCCCCAAGAATAATTAAGCCTGTGCCTGTTTTCTAGGGGTGTTTGTTTAGTTACTACAGTCCAACAGGAAAACCTGACCTTCTTCAGGAAGAATAAAAAGTTGTTGAGACTATTGCTTTAGTTAATGACTTCTTCTTAGAAGTTCCATTGCTCTAAACGGCTATTCATATTTCAAATGTGTCCTCTAATAAGAGAAGAACAAAACTAGTTTCACCTTTTTAGTTTGTAACAAGCAAACATTACACTTGTAGAACAACTTTAATAAAAAACGGCAAAGAAACCACTGAAGTTGTGTAAAATATTATGGTACCATGGCCGACGCAGAATTGGGCTTCTTATATCCAAATTGCATTTCAAATACACAAGGAGTTTGTCTGCATGACTTTACACAATACATGTGTGTACACAAACATGGTGGGGGGGAATATGTTTGAGTTTGTTGGATTTATACTGTAAACCCAGAAGGTTTCTTCAGCACTTTCAAAATTTTTTCCTTTTAAAGTTGATGAATAATTTATCAAAGGGAATGCTACAAAGTATACTGCAGGTAACTTCATTGAACCAGTTGAGATGCTTGATATTCACTGACATTTATAAATTCATTATAGGAATGGTACAAGTTATAGTTTGAACACAAACTTTAAAAAAAAAATTAAAAAGTGAAAAAGTGTTTTCTTGTTGAGTTGAATAGGTGAATAAACAAACCTTCTGGAAAACCAGTGTTAATTGGTATAGGTGCTGTACTTTGTCAGGAATACAAACATAGGATGAGTGATTGCAATCTAAGCTAAAAGTGTTTCATATCTTTGGAAATGTTAAATTAAAGTTTGGGTGCCAGGTAGGAAAACAATTAAACTCTCATGGATTCTGCAAAGATCTTTCTCCTTGGAAAGCCAAGGCTAAATATTGAAGGATCTTTTGTAATTAATCTGCAAATACAGAATTTTCTGTACTGGTGTAATTCTAAAAAAGCTTTTGAATCTGTAGAGGAGAGAGTGCCTATTTTCGCATCCTTAACCAAAGACAACTCTGCAGCTCCATTTAGAAAATTTGAGATACATTTTTAAATAAAATAATTTAACTCACTGTTTAGCATTCTGTGTTACTTTGCAGGACACATTCTTTCCAATACACGAGAAAGAGACTAGGAATGATAAGGTGTTCCTGCCTCATGCATGTAGTTACTTATTACATGCTTCAGTGTTGGCTGGGTTTCTGGGGTCCAGCTAAGTTTATTCTGCATTTGGATTAATATGTAACACCAGCACATGTAATGCTCATTATATATAAAGTTGATTTATTTTCCTTGGTTCCTGTGTTTGAAAAGTCTCAGATGATTAATTAAACAAGAATTGCCATTTCCCTGCTGATAAGGGCAAATTCTGTATGGGAGAAAAGAGGGGAGGTGAGACAGAAGAGGTTGCTATACTGCAGTGTGAGTAAGCAATTTTCATATAAGGATTATCATGTCAGTTGAGGAGCTTTGAGTATGGTTCTGACTTTTGAGCATTTCTGAACTTGAGTCACTTGGATAACACTGCAACTTGTTATACCTGCAGATATTTTAGTAAGACTTGGAGCTTTTGATACCCTTTCTGTTCTCAGTATTCCAGAAATAATTGAACTTCCCCTCCCTTTTATTCTTCAATTAGTTAGGCAAATCAGGGCTGGGAGGTGGGGATTGTGTCAAGTGCCAATCCTGTAACAGTGTAGATGACACTGAGACCAAGTTGTGCATCTCTGAATCGTGTGCCTTGTCTTCAGTAACAAAGGTTCAGTAGATCATTATTGTACTTCTTAGCAACTCTTTTCAAGCTTTGAGTTATGCAGGTAGCGGTTTGATTGTTTATTTGTTTGTTTTAATTGGTGAACTGTTCTCCTGAATTGCAACATAAGGAACAAATCTAACTTAGGGTTTTAAACATGACCATTCAAGATCAATGGCCAAACTGGTAGTTGTAAGTCAAGGTATTTACCAGGATGAGCTGAAGAATATGTGAGCCTAAGCATTCAGTGGGGTGCTGTTGCTTTTTCATCTTCTATATGTACAGAAACTTTACGAGGAAAATTGTTTTAAACACTGTCCTGATAGTGAAGTGCTGTATTGGAAACCTGTGGAACAACAATAATCAGTTTTTCCATTTTTTAAAACTGGAATGTTATAGGGGATATGGAAAAATATAAAACCTGACCTGACAAGAAGGACAGCAGTTACTTTACATGTTCATAGGACTGTGCATACATGTGGGGGAAAAGTGACTTCTAGTTTCACTTGCCTGATGGTTGACCTGGGATGCTGGCAGCAAGTGGAGGCAAATTGCCAGTTTACTTTATATACCAAAAAGAAAATACAGTGACGTTATTGCAGTACTTTCCATATGAAAATGTACAATGTTTTTCTGCAGTGTCTTATGGATATCATTACTAGTACTGGAATATCATTCTTTGCTTGCCTGAAGTACTTCTCAATGGCTTATAAACTGCTTATGAACTCTTTTCTATCACTTAAAAGAAGATTAAGGAAGAACTGTAATCTCAAATATTTTAGTTAATTATTTCATAAAACACAATTGAGATACAGCTTTTACAAGGTTCACTTAAAATTGTTTCGATTTCCATTACAGCTTCACTTTCTAGAAATGCAATCTTAAAATTCACCTCTTTACTCTTGAGCAGATCTAAGTTACTAAAGCCTGATATTCTAATACTTTTATTTACACCAAAATTTTATTTAATTTTACTGGCTTACCATATTCATTAAGCTTCTGGATGATTAAAGAATAGCAATAAGATAGACATCATTGGAGAATATAAGCAAAAGAACTGCTGAACAGATGGCTGAGATTCGCCCAGAACATGTTATAGCGGTAATGTTTAATTCTTTATTTATTGATGTGGTGGAACATTTGAACATAAAAATCCATTATTCTAGTGAAAGCAAACCAATCCTTTTTGAATTGGAGTAAAATGGGACCCTTGAATGTAACTGAAAACTTAGTTGTGCTGAGAAAAACATGTGAATTGACAAAGTTTTTCATGTAATTTTGACTGCAAAAGCTTTCTGTAATGTAAGAGTTGAGAAGAGGACAGTGCAAAGCCCAGGGATTAGTAATGGCTAAAGCCCTGTGGGTAAAGGTTGAACATCAGAAGTGATGCAAGCAGAGAGGGAATACTAAATGCCCAATACTCTCCAGGTTTTGCTTATGTAAGAAACTGCTGCAAATGCCTTCCTGCCAGTAAAACAAGTCCTCTCCAGTATGTGCATGCACATGTGCCCATACATTATATATAATAAACCCTGATGCTACAGTTTAGCTGAGGAAATGTGTCCACTTGTAAGTAATACCATGGGACAACCAGCGACCAAGATGGGAATTGTAAAAGGAATTTCTGTACAAAGCTACGTATAAAAGGTGGGACTCGATCTCAAAGGTCTTTTCCAACCTGGTTCATTCTGTAAATCTGAAGAACAAATTGGAGGAGGGGAGAGAGTGTTAAGAAGATGATGTAATTTTTCGTTCTTTTCTTGCTCTCTGACACACTTTACACTTTTCTGTTATGTAGAGTGACCTATGGATTTTGTAGAGCTGGAGTTGGGTAGTACCCAGAGACTAGACAAGAAACAGTAAAACTTGCCTGTTTTTTAACCAGGCCTTTGAGCTTATACTTGCCTTGCCATAAACTGAAGGAATGTAATTCAGTTTTTATGCTGTGGGAGCAAATTCCCAGTTAGACATGCAGTTTGCTCCAGTTATGTCTGATGCTTTCTGAACAAACATAATTCTTTCACACTCAAATTGCTCCTTGCTTGAAGAGTGATTCTCACAACAGTGCAGTATCATGCAATTCTGGTACAAGTTACACTGCATGTCTTCCTTTGGGGTAACCTAATCCTGTCCAAGAGAATGTTTAAAATATTAGCTATAAAAGTTTTGATGTAGAGCTCTGTTGCAGTTGATAGCACTTAAGTATGGGAAGATTATAGCTGACTAGTAAAAATAATTCCAGCTTTATTGCTGTATTGGATCTTAATCATCCAAAAGAGGCTGTGGTTTTTAAAACAACTATTGTATGATTGAGAAGAACTTAAATGTTTCCTATTCATAACTGTTTCCTTAATTTTATCCATCTCTTGGTGATTTTAAAGTCCTTCATGTATATATTATCTTCTTCCCTCTTACAATTTCAAATTGTTCTAAAAAGCACTGAAATTCCTTTTGGTTTAAAATGAGAATTGCATTACCTTGTTTGCTTTGTGTGATCAGCAACTAATTATATTAGTTGACAGAAACAATTTATCACCTCAAATATCTTGGAATAAATTACAGACTGTTGTAACAAATGCACTTATGTGATGAGCATTCAGACATTATTACTTCCATACACAAATGTCTTGGGGTTATTTTTAGGTGCCATCTTAAGCATAGTGTGGAGACTTATTTATTGTATCTTTTGCACTCCTCCATTGGAAGTGTGGACACCATTCAAGGTACGATGAATGATGTCCATTAATGTACTATAGTGTATTCTTGCTTAATCTAAATTAGAATAAAAATAAGTCATTGGTTTTAAATGTTCTATTAATATTAATAACATTGTCCTTTCTCAGCAAGATGACCACTACAGCTGTGTGATTTTGAAGTAATTATTTTAAAATATACTTTATACTATTACCATGCATTAGAGGTGCAGTTTGCTTTTTTTTAGTGTTCCAAGCATTGCCTTAAGCAGTTGCTTTGTGTTTTGTTTAGTCTCTTTACATGTTTCATCTCTTCTTCTAGTACTGCATTAAAATATTAAAAAAGAATTAAGCAGTCTGCCTTCTTTCAAGGAGTCATTGTGCTTCATTTCAGCAGTTTACTTTACGCACTTAAATGAATCCTTATTCAGTAAAGCACATAGGCACATTTGAATCAAATTTACCATAATAAAATGTAACCTATGCCAGGACTTCTGCTAGATTGACACTCTTCTCCCAAATATAAGCTTAGATTTTCATTTTTTCCCTCTTGTTTGACAGCTGGAAAATACCTTGTTCTTACTGCTTTATTTTACAGCCTCAGTGTATTATGCAATCCTGACTCCAAAGCTGTCATAGTCTCTCTCAGACTTGTGAAATCAGATGCTGTCCATAAGGGTCACACAAAGCATTGCCATGTAGATTAAGAAATTTATTTTTGTTTTTGTGGGAAAGGAGGTAACATAAAGGGAGAAACTAGATTTGTGGGTCTTCCATATAAATACAATACTACAGAACATAGAAATACATACACTGAATTCTGTTTGTTGTTGAACTTGCATAAAGACATAGTAATTTTCTGCATTTGGTATAATGTAAAGTTTTATAGTTTCACTGTGAAATGGTGTATAAAGTCACTCAGCAGTAGATTCTCTGTTATTCCTTAACAGATCACAGAGCTGTTGGATGTTTCAATGGAGCTGGGATGCTTCTTAGCTGGAGCTCTGATCTCTTCTCAGGGTCACATGGTTACTGAGGAGATTATGTGCTGTATTGAACCAATACGTGACTTTCTTGCCATCATTTTCTTTGCATCTATAGGTAACTTCCAAGAAATCTTACTTTAAAATATTTTATATTTATATGTAATATTAAATAATGTTAAATCTATACTATATAAAATATATACAATATATATAATTATAAAAGCATTGCTTACAATGTGGGTTAGGAACAAAAAATGGTGTCTGTAGTGTGAGGGGAGGAAATAGATTTTGTTTTGTTACACTGTTAATTGACCACAACATTGGTTTGCCTTTGCTACTACTTTCAGTTTCAGAAGCCATTTTGATATTGTACTTCCAAGTCTTGGTTTAGTGTCAGTTTTTCCAATGTTAATTGTGAAACCACCCTGTTTAAAACATTTAACTAAATATATCAAGATAAAAAGGCCTTGGTTTGGTTGTTGATTTGTTGAGGGTTTTTTGAATGTTCTTTTCTCTTTCCAGCAGCTGTATATGTAATTTGTACTAAAATTTTAGTATTATTTGAGTCAATTGATAGAGTAGATTTCATATTTTTGTGACTTGGTTTTCTAAGAAGCAAAATGTCATAATATCATAATTTTGTATAGCTTGTTGCTTTAGAAATTTAGTTGGGAGGGTGTGATCTGCATGTTCTTAATGCAGGGAGGAAATAATTGAAAGAAAGAATGTCTCAGACACTACTTGAATGCCAGCTGAAATGCAGCATTGAGGTATAAGATGAGGGAGTAACTCATTATTCTTGATATCCAAAAGGAGTTAACTCGGAATAGTTACAGTAAATCAGTAACCTCCTTCTGCACTGCTGCATTCTCCAGCTGTCTGTGCGTGCCCCAATGCGCTTTGTCTAAAGGAAGCTAGAACACATTACTGAGGTGCTTGGCTGCAGTGGGTGAGGAGACAGGCCCTGTGAAAGCACTTGCCTCTCCCTGTGGATTGTGCAGGAGATGCTTGTCCCTGTGTTGGGGACACTGCAGTGTCTAAGGGGGTTTGGATGTGGCCTGGTGCACTGATCCAACCTCCTTCGACCCCTGTTTGCCCAGAAAGTCCTAGGGTTTGGGCTTGGTTTTTTTCAACGCCACTGTTAATTTTTCTTGTGCTGTTATTTTAAGTTCTTAATTGTTATTTTTATCTCTACATATTTACTCAGATAACAGTAAAGTCCCATCATCAGCATAATTTTAGTGTTTTTCCTTATATACCTGTTTAATACTCATTGTTTTGTTACAGAAACTGAAACAAAGATGAAATAGCTATGCTTGCCAGTCTTAATTTTATTTTCAATTTTTTTAATCCAGCCCATGATGATAGATTTTGGTGATGAGTCAGATTACTTAGTAATAAATATGTTTATTTGACTAACTTATTTTTTAATAATGGAGGGAAAGCGATGAGCTCTGATGAAACGTGGGCCCGTATTGACAAGCTTGCATGAGTAATTGCTAAATGCTTACAGATGTAAGGTGTTTATGTGTTTCACTAAAGATGGTGATGGAATGGATAGTGTTATCAGGAATACAAAGCATGACAAGTAATTATAAGCCCAAGATTATTTTTACAAGTGATTGAACAAAAATACAGTCCTACACTCTTATGGCCACATAAATTAAGACTAGAGATAAGACTTTACTAGAGTAAAAGAAAACAGCAAGACCTCAGTTGGCATGCCAGCAGCACTCCATACAGCCTATATTGTACTCTAAGGAAATTATTTTAGTCATTCTGCTACAGAATTTAAAAAAAATCTTTTTTAACAAATTTTGCCATTATAATTGCAAGAAGGGGAGGAAAGAAAATTGTGTAACAAATTGGTGTGATTTTACAGAAAATGGTTATTATTCCTGCCTCAGAAGAAAATTAGTTAAAAATATCAGAACTATGTTATAGGCATCTGACAAAATGTGATAATGCTTCCTTGTTCAAAAAAAACAACCAAACAACAATAACCTGACAAAAAAAGAAGACCCAAAACCCTAAAAACCTGCCACCCTCAAACAAAATCCCCTTCCTCCCCAGATAAAAATTAGCCTCCGCTCCCCCCTGTACTTTCAGTTACTTTTAAATTTTGAACTTAACAGGAGATTCTGTGGCAAGGAGGTAGGTTTTAAAAGGAGTGATGTGATGTTGCAAAGAAAACCTGAGTAGAACAAAAAGTATTCCTTAATTTTTCTTCTTACTAGATTTCTTTTTAAGGACTTCTTGCTTGCTCTCTACTTACGTACGTGCACATGGAAATTATATGTATATATAAATATGCAGAGATTTACTCTGTGAAATTATGTAAAAGCCACAGGGAAACATTCTTCTCCCCTGCCTAAAGAGAAGTTTGTTTATTACTATATGCAGCAAGCACCTTATAGAGAGCAGAAACACTTGAGCTCCTGAGGAACACCACTGCAGTAGTATAATTTCTGGTCCCTTTAGAATAAAGGTACAAATGGAAAAAATTATCTTAATTGAAAAATGACTGTAAGTATGTCATTTGGAAAAGTTCATCCTGTTTTGCTTGTCTTAAATGCCTGCTTTTCTGTTCTTACTACAGAAATCCTGGTGCCTTAAAGCTGAGCTGAATATTACTTGTTCATGTAATATCCATAGCAGTGGACCTGCCCTCAGCTTGACCTGTGCAATGGTACTGCTTTCAAATTTGCGCTTGGGTGCATTTGTGGGAATAATGCACCTTTGCAGTTAGGCATTAACAGCTGCACTTTGAGTTACTCTCTGTCTGTACATTCATTTAGGCCTCTGGGTGTTCTTCAAGGTTCCTGGCGCTTTTATGCCACCTCCTGAGGTTAGAGAGTTTGTGTTAGTCTCTGTCCTTACTGGTAGTTTTGAGAGAACATTGCGACCAATCCCTTAGAGCCGCATTTTGGGCACTTTCCTGCTCATTTCTGTTTTTGTATCTGGTGCACAGATCTTTACCCATACATCATTTGATTTTGTTTTGGTTACTTTTTTGAAAGATGGAAGGCATCTTTCTTAGACTGACTGTTTTAAAAAAGCTCAATTTCTTTTTTTAGTCTACATGTGGAGTATAGAGTTTGAAACTGGGCATCAAGACCCTCTCTGCCACTGGTGAGGTAGTAGATTACTTCTACTGACTGACAAGTTGTGTGTTCTCAATGTGCTGTACAGATGTACCCACCAGGTTCCACATTTCCCTTCTGGATAACTCTTGTGGTCAGTGTTGGACCTTGAAGGCCAGATGCTGAAAATCCTTTAACAGCTCAGTCTTTTAATTCAGAAGTTGGGTGATGCTGACACTGCCTGCACCACCACTGTCAAGAGCAAACATTGCACACAAGGATTGTCCAATGAGTCTCTTTACACTTCCATTGAATCTGAGAAAATCAAAGGAATATCCCAAATGGAATTTGTTAGGCAGCATGCATTGCCTTCTCCTTATCCATCCAGCTCTACTGCTTTGTTTTTCTGCATGGAGCACAGTGAAGCTTGGAGGTTTCATGCTCTCAGAACTGACAACAGAGTTAAAAGGACTTTCCCCTTTGGAGAAAGATTAAGAAGATTGGTTTCCCCTCTGCTGCTTAATGATCTAGCCAGGGCTGTAGTATTTATTGCATTTGCAGCTATGATCTTAGGACTCTTAGTAGACACAGCATCTCAATGCATAGCTAACGTGATTTTTCTGAGTGATGTCCTGTCTTGAGGATGTGTCAGAATTAATCCTACTGGCTCCAGTTTGACCCTCAGAGTTGTGATTTTTGTACTCTTTTTTGCTACCAAGGATCTCAAATATTGCTTTTTTGATGTTGAATCTAATCAGGATGTGGTCAAGACATCTGGATCTTCACATGCTGTTTAGAGGCTATCCATCGATTGGTAGAATCTGCCTAATTGAGGAAAGAGGGCATTTATTTGT